TTTACAAATATAAGAATTTTGAAATTTTACTAAATAAACTCTGATTATGAACTTGATCGGCAATTAATTCTATCGACAAAATTTTCGATCATATAATTCGTCATTTCTTGTAATCTAATCTATATATATATATATATATATATATATATATCTTTCTATGTGTCAAACAGTCAATAAAATTCTATTTCCTCACTAAAATAATATTCATTGCGCAGGTAGAATATGTGGTAAAAAAAACTGCTCAATGACAATTTAATAATAACGATATACCGATGTCGTTAAGAATTACAGAATTTAGCTAGGATTTGATCGGAGTTTGATCGAAAAGTCCCTTAGATTTATAAATATGTGTTAATTCCGAGCAAAACAAAAGCTGCCAGCAAAAACATTGTCATAGATCGGTATATATCGACTATACATTCGCATCAAGCTCGCGTATTCTGCTAGCAGAGCTCACGAATATAACATGACACGGTATATTGACGGCATATCGATCTGTCGAATGCAGGTTTCCGTTCGGTTTCTATCGTCAATAACTGTCTTGTATCGTGTTGCAGATCCGCTTGATCCCATCAATCTACCGTTACATTGGCAAACTTTGCTATATTCTTTCTAGTATAATTCTATCGACCTAGTGTTGCGAAACGTCTGTTTCGCGAACAAACAATTGCAGCAATTATTAAGCATTTAGTAAAATCCATCTCGAACCGTTCTGGCTGTTTAGCATTATCAAAATTAAATCAAGTTAAACTATGTCTTGCAAATCTTACGTAATCTTTTTGTAAATTTCACAATGAGCTAGCTTAAAGCACATAAAAACATCAGCTTCTCTCAACTCCATTATACAACTCTTATCCAAGTAGAAATTAAGATAAATATATATCAAGTGCCTTATTATTTATAATATAACGTCTCTAACATCAATAAGACGCTTGAAATGTCGTTTGACCTCATATGGCATAAGGCAACAAATTAAAAAAAATATATAAATATAAAAGAGCTAAGAAAAGGAGCTTATAAATTAAGTAAATAATTTTTATAAGGCCTATCCAATTAAGATGTGCATATAGTCGCACGAATTAATTAGTGCAGTACACAAACATTAATCAAACTCAAAAATAAAGAGTGCTCATGCTTGCGTTCTTAGAAAAATGTAATACTGTATTAAATTTTTCTATGGATATACTTTAAAAATTAAATGTGCAAAATTGATTCCAAAAGTCACAAGATAAGATTTCTCAACATTTTCGCTCTACTTATAAACTACATTTATTTCTGATGTATAACACTAACTCGATAATTATCACAATAATTATTCTCATTTGTGATATGAGCACTCTCCTCGTAATGTAGAAATAGAGCCACTTACCTAAACAACACGCATGTTTGAAACATCATAAACATCTAAAAGACCTGATAGAGAGACGAGTCCCATGTCCTTTGACTATATTTATATAGTCGAAGTTCATGCCTAATTAAAAGAGACATCTTTTAAATAAGCGTGATCTGGATTATATATCTGATATCACGTCACGAACATGCCTGACGTGTCCAAAGTTTTGTCCAGTTTGTCCGGTATGCTTCTAGCTGCCTTTGAGAACGCTTTACAATCGATTCTCGTGCGATTGGCGCCACGCGTACCATACGAATTTATCTGAATAAACCTGACGACGTCAGCTGTCGTGTTCGTTGTGTTTGGAAACCACCTGCGATCTGTCAAGCGCTGAGCATCGCCGGTGAAAACTTCGCGATGCGAAGTGAAAACCGCGATAGCAAAAAATGGGTTTCATCGAGGACACTATCGTGATTCTTGTAACACAGGTGGAAATTCGTTTCCACTACAAAAATCAGATTTATCAATACTTCCTGACCTGATTAAGGTTATAAAAAGAGTACGGTGCTCTATGTATATTTCGAAATAATGTGAACGAATGTTTATTTTGTTAATGTTTGTTTAATATAAAGCATAATATAAAGCTATACGCGAATCCTTTGGTTGCATTCTGAAAAAGATTTCTCACGATATTCTCATTCAGCATTTATTCCTTGCGAAATATTAATATCTATGAATTTTTCTACTTATAACATTTTTATAAAATTGCAACTGAATTCAAAGTAATGTTAGGTGTATGTATTTTTGAGGATACTACAATAAATTTTATACAATAAAGCCTTGCAGTATATTTAGTGTCGAATCATTTAAAATGCAGGATCTATATGGATATTTTAATATTTGTTTTTAAAAAAGAAATTATTTGATGTGAATAGAATTTTTGTGTATGATAGATAGTTTCCATTTATTTATTTTTTATATATATTTCAGGTAATTTTCTTCCTAGGAGGATGGGTGTTCTTTGTGAAGAAATTATTCAGGGATTACGAAGTTCATCATAGACTAGTACAACTAATTTTCTCAACAACATTTTCCTTGTCATGCACCATGTTTGAATTAATTATTTTTGAAATAGCAGGAGTGCTTGACTCAAGGTAAAATACAAATTTACATTTTGTAATTTAAAATATGCCCCTGTGTGCCTTGTCGACTCAGTTATATATATTTGTTTTCTTCAGATCTAGATATTTCCATTGGAATGCTGGCCTTTACATGCTTCTGTTTATGGTGATAGTTCTGATCCCATTTTATATAGCGTATTTTATTATCAGCAATATCAGATTTGGTACGTATTTGTTATAAGTGTCTTATATAAATTTTACTTCTGCTTATTGCTGTTTACCTTTTAATAAATTCTTTTTATCTGTGCAGTAAGACTGAATCTAATACGGCCATTGACAGTTGTCATATATCTTTTTTATCTCTATCTGTTCTGGAAAGTGGGCGATCCTTTCCCTATACTGAGTCCCAAGAAGGGACTGCTGTCCATAGAGCAAGGCGTCAGTCGAATAGGGGTTATAGGCGTCACAGTGATGGCCCTTCTATCGGGTTTTGGCGCTGTAAATTATCCATATACTTCAATGGCGTATTTTATGCGTCCAGTTTCTTACACGGATGTACAGTCTATAGAAAAACGATTGTTACAAACTATGGACATGATCATCGCGAAAAAGAAAAGAATTGCGTTAGCTAAAAAAGGTGAAGCCGATGGACAGGCCGAAACTCGATCTCGACTGTGGGGAATGTTAGGTCCATTAGGTGGTACGAAGGGCAACCAAGAAAGTATATATTCTTTTTAATTTTGTCAAGAAGCTATGAACACGATCTATCCTAATGCCACCAGTATATATGATTTTATAGGTATCAAGCAATTACAAATCGAAGTTACCGCTTTAGAGGAATTATCACGACAATTATTTTTGGAAGCACATGATATACAAAATGCGAGAGAACGTCTGGAGTGGGCTGCCACTTGGCAAGGAAAATATTTTAATTTCTTGGGTTATTTCTTCTCTCTTTACTGTACTTGGAAGATATTTATTGTAAGTGTAATTTAGTTGATCGTTTAAATCTTTTTTTGAATAATATAATTTTAACACAATTGTATTTTATTTATATAGTCTACAATCAACATAGTGTTTGATCGAGTTGGGAAAAAAGACCCTGTAACCAGAGGAATCGAAATTGCAGTACATTGGATTGGTTTTAATATCGATGTTACATTCTGGTCGCAACACATTTCTTTTTACCTCGTCGGCTGCATTGTTGTAACGTCCATACGTGGATTATTGTTAACGTTGACAAAGGTATGTGAAACACATACTTTATATCGATTCTTTGCTACAATAACGACATAATTCAAAAAACGAAATTGTCTAGAGAATGAGTTTAAAAATGTTTTCAATCATTAAAATTTTGTAATATTAATTTTGAAATGCAATTTTTAACGTAATAACTGGTTATAGAAAAATTACATCTACTTTTTAAGTATTTTTTTTTCTTCTATATTTTCGTTCCTTTTTTGCAACAAAAATGATAATTTTTTAGGTATGTCATTATAGTAAATAAGCGATATATTATGTAACACCTATATAACAATTTCATGCATTTTTTTATTTCTATAAAATGATTACATATATGTATATATGGTGATCACTGTTGATCTTATACAGTAAACATTCCTAATATTATAAACATAACAACACTATTACATAAGTGTAGCAAAGGATATGAATATTATTTTTTGTTGCCCTATTATTTAACAACAATACTCACTACTGCCTTCCCTGTTTTAGTTTTTCTATGCCATATCGAGCAGCAAGTCGTCAAATATTATTGTACTTATACTTGCGCAAATAATGGTAAGGATAATCTATATAAAACATATACTTCTTAGTTTATTCATATTCTAAATTCTGCATTGTTTATTCTCTTTTAGGGAATGTATTTTGTATCTTCTGTACTCCTTATGCGGATGAATATGCCGGCAGAATACCGCATTATAATAACACAAGTATTAGGAGAATTACAATTCAATTTTTATCATAGATGGTTCGATGTTATTTTCTTGGTATCAGCGTTATCATCAATAGTGTTTTTATATTTAGCTCATAAACATGCACCAACAGAACGCATATAACGAAATAAAGATACTTTTTATTGAGAAAAGTCCCAAAAACTTTATTTTATGAAGTAGTTTATTTAAAACCTACATTTGATATTTTGATAGATAAGTTATTAAAGTATGTTCATGCCTGGCAGAGAATAATAAATTTTTAAATGCATACTTCATGGCGTTGGCGTGATAATATTTTTAACTTATACATAAATATTTTTGACACGATATAATTAACTTTTATTGTGATGTGTCACAATAGTTTGAAATATTAATTTTGTTCATTTTATTTTATAAAATAAATTGTATCTGTAACTTTAGAGATATTATGCTGTTTGAGGGAGCAATTCACATTAGAAGCGGAAAAGCAGAATTTGCTAAAACCATAAGTTACTGGTAGCTGCCAATACCTCTAATATTCTACTTCCAGAATTCCTAAAAAATGTTCAAATAGAGATTAGGAAAAGTGAAGAAAATTATGTTTATTGAATGCTATGTGACTCAGTAAAATGGCAGAAAATTAAAAAAAAACAGCAATTCCGCTTTTTCGCTAGTAATAAATGTGAATGCTAAGTCAAAATTAATTGATCAATTAATCTCGATAAAGAGAAAATTAGCATTTCACTGTCGCAATAACTAAACTGTATTCATGTTTGTTCTAAGAGACAATCATTCAGATCACAGATAACTGAATAGTTATAGAAAAATTGGCATTATGGTATGGATACTGAGTTGATTATGATGTATAAAATCATAATCCTAACGTAATAATTCAATGGTCCATTCCTCGCCCATATTTACAGCTGGTTTACGTATCGTTAATACATTGTTATGTGGGTTATATGTAGTTTCCAATGTTACTTTTCCCATACCTATAAAAAAAAATACATATAAAGAAATTAATCTGTTGCAAGACTGATATCAGACTTAAATCTGACTACTTACTGTGAGATTCCAGTTGGGCAGATTTAATTCCTTGCGGTGGATTGGCTATATCTATTCTTTCTAACCAGCTTTGTGTCTCATACGAAGCTAATTTATCTATTAGAGTCGAAACTATCTTATTGCTGTCCAACGTTATTCTTAAATACAAATATTTTCCATGACGATATTCGAAGCTGACTTCATCGTCGATGTATAAATTGCCCTTAGCCTTGCCATTACTATCAGCAATTAATATCAGCGTGTAAGGATCATTCCTCATAGCAACTGTACTACGTCGTATTCTCATTTTTCTTGGGACGACAGAACCGCTTCTTTGGAATACGGGAATCTTGTGCATCGTTACCGGTATTTTAACATATCCATTCTGGTAGGCTTGCATTGTATCAATATCGTACCAAGTTACTTTGCCTTCTCCTGGAAAGTAAACTGTTACCTCGGTGGCACTGGACTGGAATACCGGGCGCACGAGGATCGAATCGCCAAGTAGCAATTCATCGTCGATGGTAAACGTTTCCGATTCGGTCGGATAATGCGCCCACAGAGGACGTATAACGGGATAACCGTTTACTTCGTGTTCTCTGAAGAGTGTGTACCACAACGGCAGGGAAGAGTATCGTAATCTGAGGGCTTCGCGAACTATTTGAGTAGTTTCCTCATTGAACGTCCACGGCTCACGCCTCTTTGTTTCAATGTGAGAATGCTGACGGAAGAAAGGTAGCCACGTTGCGGCCTGATACCATCTGATGAACAATTCCGAATCTGGATTCTTGAAGAAACCTCCAACATCGGCGCCGCAGAACGACATTCCGGATATAGCCACTGACAGACACATCGGATAGCTTATACGAAGGTGATTCCAGTCAGCTGCGCCGTCACCGGTCCACATTGTTGCATAGCGCTGTGATCCAGCGAAGAAGGCTCTCGTTAAAATGAAAGGTCTCAGGGAGCCGCCTGACCGACGGAATAAAGCTTCATATGTCGCACGAATGTACATATGTCCATTGATATTGTGAACGTCTCTGTGTTCCCAACCTCCATAATGGACGAGGTCCTTCGGTGCAGTTACTTCAGGTCCGTTAAACACACTCGGTTCGTTCATATCATTCCAAATGTAAACGTCGTTAGTGGTACCGTGGAATTTATCTAAACTGTACAATCCAGTAAAATAATCAACAACTTTCGGATCGAAGAAGTCTAGATACGAGGAGGCGCCTGGCCAGCACCAACCCTCGTAATCTTTTCCTTCCCTGTTTTTGATGTAATAGCCCAAGCTGGTGGCATCGTTGTGTAAGAAATAATTGTTGTCACGTTTAACATGAGGATCTATGATAACTACCAATTTTCTGCCTTTGGCAGTGAGATTGTGCACCATTTCAATAGGATTTGGGAATTTGCGTGAGTCCCACGTAAAGTATTTTTTGCTGTCAGTATATTCAATGTCGAGCCACATGGTTTCCAATGGTATATCATAAGTATCAAAATTTTCGGCGATCGTTGCAACGTCATCTTGATCATTATAATTCCAACGAGATTGATGATATCCGAGTGCAAACATCTAAAACACATATTTTATGAAAATATTTACCAATTTAAGATTTCAATTTTTTTACAACATTTATTCAACATACCTGTGGCAAAGGAGCTGTACCGGTTAAAACGGTAAACTGTCTGAAAATATCAAGTGGTTTCGGGCCCAGCATGAAGAATAAATCAATCACTCCAGATTCTGACATGAAATGCGCGTCTACCTGGGACTTCTTAGTTGACCCAGATACGAAATTAACAATGCTTTCTACAACATAATTGTCCGCACTCGATAGAATGTCGACCCACGTTTCGGCTGTATTGTGCCAGAAAACAGCAGACGTTCTCTCCCTTCTAAAATATTACAAGAACGAATTTTATATGAATACTTTTATGAATCCTATAACTCATTAACTTATTATAATATGTTCTTCATACCCATGAGCATAAAGAACCGGGATGGCGCCGTACAAAGCCATACGTTCATTCGTTTCATATTCAAATACATCTAAATTGTACAGTCTATACGGATCAGTGGATTTAGTCGATTGCAATGCCAGCGAATCAGCATGTTCCGGAATACCGTAGGCATTTTCCGCTCCAGGAAAACTGAAGTCCATGCCAACAGCTTCAGGTCCATACGGTTTTGCATCATGATGCTCCTTAAAGTTTTCCTCCCAAGCGCCAGGATCATTGTCAGCACCATCGCCAGGATATGCGGTATTATTTGTCTCTGCTGGTTCGGCATTTTCACCTTCTGGCCTATATGACGTACAATTAATAATAGACATTTTTTATATAGAATCTCTTATTGTAGAAATTATTAATGTAATAATTTTATCTTCTAGTAATACTCACTTTACTGGTTTCGTACGCAAATGCTCGAATCTCATGAGGCCGCGGGCATTTGCCGATATTGTTAAAACACCTTGGGCGTACAGTTCTACTTTAAATGGATTAATATATAAAACGGCTTTGTTTTCGCCTTTGGTTACAGCTATAGTTTCAGCGGTGGTTTCGACAAAATCCATTTCCACCGTTTGCGGCTGATCGTAAAGGGCGTATTCGTTCTCATATCTGGGATGCAGTGGATTCTTCTCGTTTATGTGCAACCGAAATGTGTTTTCCTTCAGCGTGGTAAGTTGTACCACGTAGGTGACACCTGTATCCTTATTAAATAAGTCCACTACGATCATCGATTCATTCTGAACCAGGCTATCTGGCAAAAGCTGATATGGCGTTTTTCCAGATTCTAACCCTCTCAACCGTCTACAGGAAACAAAATAAATAATCACAATAGTCTCTGGAACAAAAGTATTTTATAGTAGTATAAGATTAATCCTTACCGGCAGAAACTGCTCTGGTCGCATCTTTTGAAGTTGTCTCTGTTGACTGCATCGGTGATGAATGGAGTACATAGCAGTATTAAAAATAGAGCCAACCTGAAACGTTTATGAGAATAAAATTAGAACCAAATGAGACCGAAATAAGAGCAAAACGAGAGCAAAGTCGGAGTATTTGGCGAGATAAAGTGGGCCCGCGTTCCACGTATATAAATCACGGATTAAGGAAACAAATTATGCTAAATAGGCGGAGCATTACATTGCGCTCTTTCACGTCCAGCTGGATAACGACCCCGGGAGGAAATCTCGCCGGAAAACGTGGCCGCGCGACAAACTGGTACGGCGACGTTCGTCTTTATGAGATCACTGCTTAACTTTCGCCGTTGCGTTACGTATGTCGTATGGCGGCCGGTGTCGATTCGGCGACAGTTCGGCGACAGATTAGATTAGATTGGCGGCCGGTGGCGCGAGAAGTTAATTGAAAAAAAAAAAAAGTATATCGGAAACAACACTGCAACACAGAAGGGACACGTCAGCGGCGTATCGACGATGTGTGAAATCTACGCCACGATTTCGTGCCAGAAAAATCGTCGAGAATTGCCGAGAATGTCGCGCACGAGCGATCTCACGTACCCCCGTGACAAATCCGTATTTTCGCCGTTCTGAAAATTAAAAAGCCGAAAATAAACTTACCGAACGAACGAAGCCATGTTGAAGGAAGTAACTATACTGCCGTATCGCCCTCGCGCTAATTCACACGGCGTCGTGCGCGATTGATTTTGTAGATGGCGCGACGAGGTATTTTATGATTGAGTTTCATGAGCATATCAAATATAATTAATTCTTTCTCTCTCAAATGCATATAAATAATATATTTTTAATAATTATAATTTGAATAAGATCGCCTATGTGAATAACATAATTGACTTTAAGAGTAAATTATCGCTTTCATTATATTATACAATTAATAAATTTTATAAATAATTTTATAAAATATGATGATACGTACGGTGTTTATTATAAATAAATTTGCAGGGTATTATTTCTCAACTCTTAACATTAAATAATAGAGATATTATTTAAATTATTATATAAACATATCAAAAATATAAATAAACTGCATATATGGAAATTTAAATCTTATATTTTATATATTGACTATTTAAATTATTTTTAAAAAATTATTAATAATTGAATAAAATATAGGATTCAAATATTTTAAAACTAATTACTTCGCGGGGTCCATTTTTTTATATTATCATTTTTAAATACGTCATTTTTTTAATATATCATATTTTAATATAATTAATTAAATATTTTTAAATAAGATCAGGAGACAATTCAGATTGAATAAACAGAATCAAAACTCGACTATATACGAACTATATCCAAACCGATAACGATCATATATCGACAAATAACATTGATTTTTGCTTCCAAACCTGTCACAGAAAAGAAAAAACAAAGATACTCTCTGATGGAGTACCTCCGATAGAGTATTGTAAAAAGATCTTACAAGTTAAATATTAGTCTTATTTATAAAAGTATAATATATATTATGTTATTTAAAACATGTTTTATATTAATAATTTTTATTATTGAGAAAAATTTTTTAATTGATTTATAATGTGTCAATCCATTATTTTATTTGTTTTATATAACATTAATATATTATTCTTCTTTTTTGTAGAAATAATTTTGCAGCAATAATATACTGAGAGTGCGTTAAATTGGATGTTATGTTTGCATTTCTTCGACAATTGATACATGCAATGAATGGATAGAGTAATTAGAAAAAAGTTTTGACTGTAAGAATATTAATATTCATTAAAATTTTAGTGAATAATGAAACAAAATCATATAATTTTCATAAATTTATTTGTTAAGAAAGTATGTACACTTTCTTTAAGACGATCAAATTGATGTAAACAAACATCAATATAATAGATTTGATAATGAAGATGCATGATAAACCGCGTAAAAAAATTTTACAAAATTGCGTTGACTAATATAGCTCGAATAGAATGACGCAATAGCCGTAATAGCGTTTCTCTATAATGCAGCACTTATCGAAAGGATTTATTAGACTAGCGTAAGAAAAATTAAAAGATTTAATAAATTGTCAGATAAAACGCCGCATTAGAGTAGGTCCGAATACGTTCCGGCTAGACTGAGATTTTAAGAAAATTTAATTCTGAACAAAAGTTTCCGATAAATATGTGTTGAAAAATGCTTCCTTAAAAAATTAGCGCTTAAAAATCTTTAAAATCACGGTCATTTTGAGACGTGCTTTATAGAAATTAACAGCGCTTTTAAGATATTAACACTGCATGTAAAAATATTGCTGATTGATAAGACTGCCATATATATGCATATTATTTTAAACGTGGTCTACGCAAACAATGTTTATTAATGCAATATTGTATCAACGTTATTGTAGACATGATATAGATATTAGGCATTAAATTATATCATTGCGTATAATATTGATGTATTGTATAAATATATTTAGAGGCCGCTTAATTGTGCATAAGTATGTAAATGAGCGATACTTATCGAGCAATGTGTTTATTAACTCCTATAAAGAGCTTGTCCTTATCGCATGTACATACATACAAAGTTTAAACCTTTCCCTTTTATTACGACTATATTCATAAAATATTTATTGCATTAATTTCCATGAAAATAATCGATATAATTCAGAATAATTGGTTTTCTAATGAAGTTATTTATGAGTTTAGACGTCGAAAACCTTCTATTATCTAATATCATTTATATATGATGCATTATGCTTCATTATGCGATGTCTATAGGGCTAGTTATTTGCTAACATTAATTGTGTTCGAGTTCACGTACAATATGCGAAATAATTTTGTCTTATCATGGGTGTAACACGCTATACGCTATTAAATGT